GTGGACTCTGGGACTGCCAACCCACCTCCGCCCAACAAACAGGAAAGGGGGTGGAGAGTGGATGAGCGCCACAGGCACCTGGCCGGCCAGAACTGCTTCTTCAGTAGCCCTTGTTCCACAACTTCATTCCAGAACCTCGGGAACTTGTTTTCCCGAAGCGCCAGGCGGAGCAGGTCCAGAGCCACAGCAGGCAGTTTGCGTTCCTTCTTCACAGAGGTGGCGGCCATCTTCAGCACAGTCACCAGTCTGTGGAGGGCAGAGAGGACTCAGGTGGCATCCACTGCACAGACAAGGGCCCAGGTATCCAGGGAAGCTGGCATACACCCAGGCCATACCGCAAATCTGTGAACGGGCCCGATGCAGCCCCTTGGCCCCAGGGAAGCTACCCACTCCACCCCCCTCACACCTGGGGATATTCTCATCCGAGAATAGGTTGACCGATCCCATGAGCTTCTCGAGCTTCGAGGGAACCTTCTGCTGGGCCAAGAGGAAGAGCTCCAGGTGCTCAGGAGAGCCAAGTACTGAATTCAAGTCAGCCTTGAGAACCTTCGGCAGGACCTCCTGCCACATGGCCTCCGGGACCTGGGGTGGGGAGACAGGTTGAGGGAGGGTGGCTCCCTTGAGGCACCTGGCAGTGCCAGTGTGAGGTGGGACAGCCACAACCCACCTTGCTAGGGTATTTGTTAAAAAGCTCAAATTTCCAAGTCTCAGGAAGCTTAGTTTTTAATAAGCACCCAACTGATGCTAACTGACCAGAGGTCACCATTTTAATTATTTCTCTTTGGGATTTTTCAGAACTAGCCCTTTTGTTATATAAGGAGCCGCAAGTGAAGAGCTGGAGTTCAAATTCAGGTCCTTGTGGCTCTGCGGCCAGATCTGTGCAGAAAGCTGGGGCCCAGGACTTTCCTATCCCTGCCTTTTCTCCAGTAGCAGAAAGTTCCAGGTATTAGCTTACCTTCATTTCTCAAATAGGGCAGTGGCAGGTGGAGGGGTTCCTGAGGGGCCAGCTCTGCCTCAAAACAATGGCAAACATGCCTAATATACTTGCCACATGCCAGGTGCTGTTCTGGAACTACACTGTCCAACATGGCCACTGGCCACAAGTGGCTACTGAACACTTGGGATACGCTACTCTGAAAGGAGGGTTGCTTAAGTGTACAGTATATACTGGCCTCCCAAAACTTAAAATGACAAAAAGAATACAAAGTTTTTCTGTAACTTTTTATATTGATTGCATGTTAAAAAAACACTTTAGATAATTACTTAAATAACTTAACACGTACTAGGTTAATGAAATGTTACTAAACTATACTTATTTCTTTTCCCCCTTTTAATACAGTAACTGAAGAGTGTCATTATGCACTCATATTTCTGTGGAATAGTGCTGCTCTAGAGCACTTCCTTCCATGAGTTAATTTAACTCGTGTCTTTTCCACATTCCTATAACGAGTAGCACTACCAGGGGTCCCACAACCCTAAGCCTGTACCTCAGAGAGGATGTCCACCAGGGCCTTCTGGGGCTGCTCCTGCAAGTGGTTGTAGTGCTGGGCCAGGGCCTGCAGTAGCTTCACGGACTTCATCAGTGCCTCCGAGTCCTGGTACCCACAAAGAGGTAGAGGATACGAGCCACTGTCCCCCACCACTCCCAACCCAGTCGACATATCTCATTCCCCCAAAGCTCTTACCTTCACCAGCCTGCCAGACTGAAAGAGGGCTAGCACCCCAAACAGGTTTGCAAAAAGAGCAGGTCTCATCATTGCCTAGAAAGGGATTCCAGGCACCGGTGAGAAGGAACCAAGTGTTCTCCACCCCAAGGCTGCTGACCTCCCCGGGGACAGTAACTCTCACCTTCTTAACTTTCTGCAGGTCATGTTTCTCTTGTATCTGCTGCAGGATGCTGCACAAAGGGATGTCTTCGAAAGACTGTAACAGCTGCCAGGAGTTGTGGCAGGAGATGGAGGGGGGCTCAGAGGGCTGGTCCAGTCACAACCCAACAGACCTCAACCTCCTCCCACTTCTTCCTTCAGTTTCTGCCCCGGGGGCTTGGGCCCCTGCTTGCACCCCAAGAATGCCTCTGAAGCTGCTCATGCCCCTCCGAGCAGCACCGATGATGGAATTCGCTGCTGGAGTGGAGCTGAATCTTGCCTCCCTGGGTTGCAGAAAGTACCTCCTTTGGCCCCTAGATTCCCAGACACTCTATCCTCACAGGCTGCTCTGAGCTCCCCTCACGCTGATCCTAAAGGACTGATCTTTATTGCACTTCCAGCTGTCCAAGTCCTCAGAGGTGGCCTAAAATCAGCTGAGTGGCCCTTGGGGGTGGAGGGTCCTGAACATTGCAGAGGTAAGTGAACCCACTCCAAAGCTTACTACCCTCAGTAAAATGTACCTCAGAGGGCGGTCAATCCATGTGCCAAAAAGAAAACTACTCAACCTCCCACTCCACCTGCTGGGGCTTTTCTGGAGACAGGCCTGTCTCATACACTTTCTACACCTCCACGTGGGGACGTCTTCCATCCGCTTACATGTCACCCCGCCCCCCCCAATTCTCCCTCTGAAGACCACTGACTCCTCCCCTGCAACCTAGACATCTGCCCTCCTCACTCCCCACAGTTTAGACCAGCACAGCTGGTCCCCTTCCAAGAGTGACCATCTCACCTGGGCCAAGGCCAGACTGAAGCAGGGCCGGGCGGTTTCTCGCCCCATTCCGAGCCCGGTGATTAGGCGCTTCAGGGCGTACTTCATCTCGGATCCCTGCGGAACCAAGTGCATTCCCGGGTCGACCAGAGCCAAGACTCGCACCGCACCGCACCGCGCCGGCCTGCCCCTTGCCCCACGGCCCGCGCTCACCTGGGCACACAGGTTCGCGACCACGTGCCCCCAATCCCCAATCCCTGTGACCCGCCGCCACAGCTTTGCTGAGATCTTCGCAGCCGCCTGTCCCGGGCCCCGCCATCGTACCTCTGGTCTGGTGCGCAGGTACTCCAGCAGCTTCTCCGTGGCCTCAAGCCGAGTCTCCTGTTGCGGCTTCGCGATGTCCCAGAAAAAGTCCAAGAACTCGCGGCTGTGCTTCAGCAGGCCGTGACGGTCGGCGGGCCGAGCGCCGCTCTTCCTCTCCTCTCCTGGAGACATAGCCTCTGAGACGTCCGGATTCCCCATCTTCACCACGCTCCAGAACACGTGGGCTCTGAAGCCGGTCTCTTCCGGGTCAGGTCGCGGCGCATGCGCGCTGGATGGAGTCGTCCAGGGAAGGAAGAGCTGGGGCGGGGCGGGGCGGGGCGGGGCGGGGCCAGGAGGCGCTGGGCGGGGAAGGTCCCGCCCTTTTGCTCTCACTTCAAAAAAATCAGGAGTTTGCCCTGGCCGGTTTGGCTCAGCGGTTAGAGCATCGGCCTGCGGTCCGGAGAGACCCGGGTTCGGTTCCCGCTAAGGGCGCGTACCTCGGTTGCAGTTTGTCCCCGGCCCTGGTTGGTCGTGCGGTGGCAGCCACTCGATGTGTCCCTTTCACATCGATGTTTCTCTCTCTCTGTCTCTTCCTCTCTCTCCCTCCCACTCTATCTGTACAAAAAATGGAAAAATGTCCTCAGGTGAGGATAAAAAAAAAAAATCAGGAGTTTGGAAGGAAGGGCGTGCTGGAACTCAGAGAGGAGCCCCCACGCTGGGGCCTGTGTGCAGGTGTCTCAGATGCGGGAAAGGGGAGGAAATGGTTCTGGTCTCTGACGGTGGTCAAAGGTGCAGCTTGTCTCTGTCTCTCCTCTCTGGATGGTCGCTCTTTCTCTGGTTTTCTCAGGACTGACATGGTGATCTGGAGGGCAGAGCAGCCTCCAGAGCAGCTTCGAAATTGCAACACAGGTCCGGCCGGTGTGGCTCAGTGGCTGAGGACGACCCATGCACCAAGTGGTCGCCGGTTCAATTCCTGGTCAGGACACATGCCCAAGTTGTGGGCCCGATACCCAGTGGGGGGCATGCAGGAGGCGGCCAATCGATGTTCTCTTTCATCAATGTTTCTATCTCTCTCTCCCTCTCCCTTCCTTTTTCTCTAAAATCAATAAAGGAACAACAACAAAAAAATCAGGAGTTTGAATTTTACCCTGAGTGTGAATGGGTCGTCAGAGGGTTTTCTGGAGGGGCAAGTCTTAATTCTGTTTACATTTCTAAAAGCTTATTCTGCAGCTCTGTTGGGATGGATTGTAGGAATGAAGAGGTAGAAGCAGAAAGAACAGAGACAATGGTGGATTGGGCCAAGGAATTAGGAGAACAGGTCAGATTCCAGCTATTTGGAGCTGGTAGGGAGTGATGGATGTGGGGAGAGAAAAAAAGAGAGGGATGCCAGGTTTGGGGCTAAAGTGAGTGGGTAGATTGTGCTACCATTTACTGAACAGGGGCAGAATTTTCTTTCTGGATGGGAGGGAGATGGAGATGGTAGGATTACAAGTTCTGTGAAATCAGAGATACCTTTTACAATGTGTATGTGTGGAGGTGCTACTGGTCAACCCTGTTTGTTGACTTGAGAAGCTGTCTCTGGAGGGTGTAGTCCAGAGAGACCCCAGCCCTCAGGGAGGTGGGGTGGTCAGGGTCAAACCTGGCCTTTAAATTTCATACACCCAGCTTTTTTGTACACAGGCCCCGAGGGAACCTCCTACTCACCCTCTCAACCTCTTCCTTGCTCTGCTGTCTGTTTTAGGAAGTGAAATTAAGAGGTTTACCTTCCATCTCTGGTGCCCTAGGAGGCAGGAGGTGAGCAGATCCGGGGGGAGCTGAAAGACATCAGCCCAGTCTCTGCCTCTCTGGGTTCGGGGGTCTCCTGTGCTGCCCACTGGGGAAGCCCCGACACCAGGTACCTCAGAGACTTATGGGTCATTAACCAAGAAGCAGGAATGGCGCATGGCGCATGGCATCCGTGGGACTTGATCTTTATTTTGTTTCCAGCCTCACTGAGGGAGATCGGCAGACGGTGGCCTGAAGGGGAGGATGGAGATGCCAGGAGTACCCCAGGCTCTGTCTGCCCCGCCCAAGGGGCCCCGAGCCTAGATAGAGGCTTGGCATTTGTCCATCTTTCCTTTTCAGAACTGGATCTGAACTCAGGGCTGGCCCCAGGTCTTGGTGCTCTTTTCTTATTGTCCTCAGTTTCCTTAGCTGAGAAGAGCCAGTCCTGTAACTGACCAAGCCAGAGTTTGAGGGCCTGAGCCAGTGGTGAGCACATAATCCATGCATGCTCTTTGTGCACTCCATCGCTGCTGGGCCTGCTCTGTCCTTGACCCTCAGAACCCCTGGAAGGGGCAGCAGCCACTGGGTACACTGGAGACATGGGCATGCTCTGCATGGGCTGCCACCTGGAGCACAGACCCTTGGCCACAAACACTGGGGCTCTCTGTCGGTCCTTGCTGGGCCTGGTGCTGGTGCTGGGCCTGGGTTTGGGGCCCAGCCAGGTGGCTGAGCAGGGCATGAGTTGTGACTCCGGCTACTACGGGGGTCCCTGAAGCCACCAGCCCCAACACATCGGCCTCTGTTTCATCTGGGCTGCCAAGAAGGATGAGGGGGCAGGCCCAGGTGTTAATTGCAGACTTAGCCACTAGGTTGCTGAGTAGAACCCCAGTGCTTGGGGACAGGTGTCGAGAGCCGAAGGAGCTATTGAGTGAGGAGACGAGAAGGAGCACAGAACCGCTGCTGTCCACGGTGGCCAGGGCACTGCTCACAGGAGTCTCAGTAGCTTGTAGGGGTGGTGGGCAGGGACCAGGGCTGGGTCCTCCAGATTGTAGGGCTGCTTCCAGTAGTGCCAGCAGTTCTGGGCCAGCCGAGGGGCTGGGGGTGGTGAACAGGATGCCCTGGGCCAAAGACAGCTGCAGCGCTGGCTCCAAGGTGGGCATAGGCTCAGCTGAGGGTCCTTCCAGCCCCAGGTCCTTGGCCAGCAGACTCAGTAGAGCATCCCCAGCAAAGTCTGGGCTGGGGGCAAGTGCTGCCCTGTCTAGTACCTCTGCCAGTTTTGGGTTGGTGGCACGGGCTCCAGGGCCCAGGGGCGTCCCATCAGTGTGGCAAAGTAGTGGACAGAGGCCCTTTGTGCCCTGGGCTTCCAGAGCCCTGGCCAAGGGTGTGTCCACGAGGAAACCATCTTTAGCCAGTGTGGTGGGGCCCACCAGCAGCCGTGGCCAGGGTAGGCGGCCGAAGCGTGTGTGTAGCAAGCGCAGGGTGGGCAGAGCCGAGGGCAGCCCCAGGCCGGGGACCAGGGTCTGCACTGGGCCTGATGTCAGGGCAGTTGAATTGCCCGAGGAGCTGTTGTAGAAGAGGCCCCAAAACATGGCACCTGGGGGAGACAAAGGGGTCACACGGGGTCAGGGTCACTCAGTAGCTCTAGGTGAAGGGTTATGACTTAGCCTGGGGTCAGGAGTTACTGACTGGGCCTGGAAACCCACCTGGGGTCAGGATCACATGGATCTGGAATTAAGGGTCACAGCCTAGGGTTGGAACTACTGGCCAAGTCCTAGGTCCTGCTCACTGACAAGCCTTGAGGTCAGGGTCACTAACCACCGGGTTCCAGGTCACTGATTGGGCCCAGGGTTGGGGTCACTGCGGTTGGGGGTCACTGACCTAGCCCTGTAGCATGAGGATGCACTACCGCCAGACACAAAGCCGCTCCGACTCCTGCGTCCACAACATTGCCTCCGGCAACAAGCAGCTCTTGGCCCAGGTGGGAGCACACAGCTGCAGCAAGAAAGGGGCTGTCACTGGGAGGGGCTGGGTCAGGGACCCTGGTCCTTCCCCTCCCAGAGCTGCTCTCATTACTGACCTGCAGGGCTGATGATGGCACCATGGTGGTACACACCCGGGCGGTGTGAGTGCCCACTGGGTGGAGGGACCACAGAGCCCAAGTTTTCTGTAGAGCTACCCCTGGTATGAAGTTGCCACACAGCCAGAGAGAAGCCAACAGCCAACAGCAACAGGGTGGCGACTAGTTGGGCCCAGGCCCCGGGCCGAGCACTAACTTCTTTCCTGCAGAGAGGTTATCCTGAGCCAGGGCCGAGACAGGGGGATACCCAGGAGCCCCAAGAAAACCCAGGGAATATTTTCCAAAAGGTTGATCTTGTTTGCAAGAGGAGTGCAAGTTTAAGAAGAAGAAAGGCTTCCTGGCAGATGGTGCAGTGTGGACAGAAACATAAAGATTGGGGAAACTGAGGACAGTTAGGGAGGGAGTCTCTGGAGAGAAGGTCGGAGAGACAGAGTTGAGTCAGTTGGGAAGGAAGCCTGGCAGGGGCTTGGCAGGCTTGAGGAGCCAGGGCCCAGCCAGGTGTAACCAGGCCCCAACCTGCTCAGCAGGTGCCTCCTGCACCAGGGGTTGGGGGCTGGGCACCTTTGACAGAGCAGTGGGCGGGCTGGCTTGGTACAAATGTCCCTTCAGACACACAGACCATGAATTGACTGGTTCAGGCCACATCTGGGCTGTAGCCCGGGCTCCTCCTATTCAACCAGAAAATTCCTGGAGCTGAGCCAAGCATAGGGTTGCCTGGCCCCACGAGGGGCCCCAGAGGGAGGGGCTCAGCCAGCCTCAGTCCTGAGTTGCCAGGTGCCCAGAGCCCTCCCTGACTCACCAAGAGGAATCCTGGGGCTTCCAGGGATCGAAAATGAGAGGCTCTGATATCTCCTCTTCCTCTTCTTCAGACTCCCAGCTCTGTTCCCAGAGCAGCAGCTTCTGGTAGACCACGGGCCCTGTCGTGTCTTCCATGGCCCCGCGGTGCCCACCCCAGCCCGCCTGCCCGTCTTCCTTCCCAGCTGAGTCTCACAATGCCCTGCCCAAGCCAGGCAGGTGGGAGGCGGAGGCAGCCTTGGGGAAGGGTGTTGTGGAATCTGGGACAGGTCTGGGCAGGTCATGGGCCAGGGAGGCTCTCCCATCAGGGCACTGGCCTAGGGTCTCTCATGGCAGGGGACTCTGTCAGGGGATGCAGCTCAGGGAGGTAGGAGGAGCTCAGCCCTTGGGCCACAGCCATATGCCCTGAGATCCAGAATACTTGCTGGCTCCCTGTTCAGGGGATGCAGCCCCAGAGCCCCCAGGCCTGTTCAGAATGTTCATGCAGAGACAGTGGAGCTTGAATTGGGATTACAGTTACATTGTTGCCCGGATTGGGCCTCAGTATGTGAGGTTCCTCCAGGGATCTGGGTTTCTTTACCCCATGAGCAACAGGAGGTAAAGGCTCAGTCATGTGGCTCTTGACCAGCAGGTGGCGGTACAGACCTCTTAGGGAGCCATAGCCTGGAAACCATGTTTCCAAATTCCTTCTCTCTGGGATTCACATCACCGACCTGTTCTGTGGCAAAATCCGAGAACCTCAGAGTGTTGCAGGGCAGGTTATGGACTCCAGTCTCATTCGATCTCTAGCCATGTCTCTGCTGACCATTCTGCCTTGCCCACCTCAAACCTTCTCCCTTCCCCCTGCCTCAAGTCCCAAACCCTCTGACTCCACATGCTCCCTACTTCACATGGGCAAATAAGGCGGATGCAAGGAGCCCTCCATACCCACCGCAACGACAAACCCACCTTCCACACTGCTCTCTCCTCCCCACCTGTTGCCACTCCGGCCTCTGATTCTGACCCAACCCCTCCCACCTCTGGCTTCCTACTTCCCCGGGGACCTCCCTCTCCCTCTAGTTGACTCCCATCTCTCCTGTAGCTTCACAATGTCCCTGCTGGTTTCTTCTCAGAAACGTTTAAACAGGGTTGAGCCCTCAGAAATTTCTCCCCTAGGTATGTACCCAAGAGACATGTCCCAGAATGTTCATAGCAGCACTAATTGGCACAGTCGCCCGTTCGAGAGTGCCCACATGCCCATGACCAGTAGAGGGCGTGGTGCCGTCACACAGTGGAATACTATGCAGCGGAGAAAGGAGGGGCCTGCCGTTCTGTGCCATACTATAGATGATCTTACACGCACACCGATGAGTGAAAAAAGCCAGATACCAATGAGCACATGTGTTTTTGCTTCCATTTATATGAAGTACAAGAACCAGTGAAACTAGTTTCTGCCCTTAGAAGTCAGATGGTAACAGGAGAAGGCACGAGAGGGCTTCTGGGATGCTGGTGATGTTCTGTTTCTTTCTTTCTTTCTTTTTTTTAACCTCACCCGAGGACATTTTTCCATTTTTTTTGTTCAGATAGAGCGGGAGGGAGAGAGAGGGAGAGAGAGAGAGAGAAACATCGATGTGAAGGGACACATCGAGTGGTTGCCACCCGCACGACCAACCAGGGCCGGGGACAAACTGCAACCGAGGTACGTACCCTTAGCGGGAACCGAACCCGGGTCTCTCTGTACCGCAGGCCGACGCTCCAACCGCTGAGCCAAACTGGCCAGGGCATCTTTTTTTTTTTTACCCTCACCCAAAGACATTTTTTCATTTTTTGTTCAGATAGAGTAGGAGGGAGAGAGAGGAAGAAAGAGAGAAACATCGATGTGAAAGGGACACATCGAGTTGCCGCCACCCACACAACCCAACCAGGGCTGGGGACAAACTGCAACCGAGGTACGTGCCCTTAGCAGGAACCGAATCCAGGTCTCTCTGGACCACAGGCTGATGCTCTAACCGCTGAGCCAAACCGGCCAGGGCGACGTTCTGTTTCTTAATCCGATGTTGGTTCCATGAGTGTGTGGATTGTGAAACTACAACCAGCTGTACATTTATGACACATGCACTTTCTGGAGGTGTATTGTATTTCAATAAAAAGCTTTAAAAAAAGCTCAAGTGTTTTTGACACTGAAAAACCACGGATACCATCCTTTAATCCCACTCGGCTCTCCAGCCACGTCCCTTTCTCTCAGCCTCTTCACAAGCAGGTTCTCTGACATGGGTGTGCATTGGAATCATCCAGGGAGCTTGTTAAATCAGGTTTCTGGGCTCCATTTCCAGAGTGTCTGATTTTGTAGGTTTGGGGTCGGGACCTGAATTGGCTTTCCTAACTCCCAGGGGATGCTGCTGCCACAGTCCCGGAACCACACTTTGGGTAGTACTGATCTACAAAAAATCGTCTACACTTGCTATCTCCATTTCCTTGCTTCCTATTTTCCCCACAGCCCACCACAAGTTGTTTTTCATCCCCAAACCCCCAGAAAAGCCTTTAGTTTTTGGATCAATAAAAACACACCAAATTGCCCTGGCTGATTTGTCTCAACGGCCTGTGGACCAGAGAGGCCTGGGTTCAGTTCCCCTAAGGGCATGTACATTGGTTGCAGCTTGTCCCCTGCCCCGGTTGGGGTCTTGTGGGTGGCAACCAGTAGATGTGTCTCTCTCACATCGATGTTTCTCTCTCTCTCTTCCTCCCTCTCTCCTTCCTGCTCTATCTGAAGATGAATGCAAAAATGTCTTCAGGTGAGGATAAAATAAATAAATAAAAAATGAAAACACACCAAATGGAGATATCGGCGCAGGTTGTCACTTTTTTTTTTCTCTCCCAAGGGTGGGGTAGGGGAACCACCTGATTCCTGATGGTAATCTGCTCTAATTTAATAAAATAATTCGACTCCGCCCTGACCAGTTTGGCTCAGCAGTTAGTCAGCCCAGGGACCAATGAGTTTCGGGTTTGATTCCGGCCAAGGGCACGTACCTCGGTTGTGGTTGGTCCCGGCCCTGGTTGGGTTGTGCGGGAGGCAACCAGTTGATGTGTCTGTCTCACATCGATGTGTCTCTCTTTCCTTTCTTCTCCCTCCCTCCCACTCTATCTGATGATAAACAGAAAAATATCCCCAGGTGAGGGTTTAAAAAAATAATAATAATTTGACTCCACTTCCTGTTAGCACAATGTGGGAAGGTTATAATCTCAGAAGGGAGGTCAGTCCTTTCTTCCTGAGAACAGGTGGTTGAGAACCGACGCTGCCTGTGCTACCCCGTCTCCTGCCCTGTCTTCAGTCTGGCCTCTGGGCTTCCAGAGCTGGCTCCCTTTGTCCAGCAGACATGAGTCTTTGACCCCTGTCCAGCCAGTATTCCTCTGTGCTTAGAGCTGTGTCCTGACAAGTTCTTTGGGACCAAGGCCTCCACTGGTTGGGTCATGGAGACCTTTTCCTTTGTGGTCTCTCTCACCCCTGAAGCTCTGGGCCCGGACAATGCTGCCCCGCATCCCAAGAGATGACTGTTAGCAAAGCTTCAGGTAGAACCAGACAGACTCTGGGGGTGAACGGTGTCAGGCCGACAGCTGCGGAGCCAGTCATGTCCGCGGCAGTTGGAATGGCATTGGCTTTGGGACACCTGGGTCGCGTCTAGTTTCGGCCTCTGACTCACTACGTGGCTGCAGGCAAGTCCTTTGACCTCTGGGAGTCTTGACTCCAATTCTGTGGAAAAGTGTCTAACAATATCCATCCTCCCAGGGTTATGGTGAGGATTCAATAAGGAAATACATTGAAAGCATTTAGGCCGCTGTCTGGGACAGAGTGGACCCTCCAAGACACACGAAGTCCTTGCTCTCTGTTGTCTGGGCCTCGGTGTCACAATGTGGAAAGGATGCGAATAATCCCCACCCCTGCACCCACAGGTACACGCGCCGCTCACAGAACCGTGAGTACAGAGCTACGGGTTCATTCATGTCTTCATTTCCTCATTTTATCTTTTATTCATTCTCTTTTCCTAATAATTCTCATCCCTCATTCATTCTCTTATCCTAATAGTGTTCTCGACCTCATCCTTATGGTTCTGCACCATAGAACCACCTGGCAAAATCCTCATGCCAGGCAGACAAATTAAACAGTTAAATCAGAGTCTCTAGGTTGGCATTCCATTGGTCTTTTCTTTAAAGCTTCCCAGGTGTTTGCAGTGTGCAGCCAAGGGGGCAATCCACTGCCTTATCTAGGCCCCTAGTCCAGTGATTTCTGCAGCTGGAATCGCGGCCAGTGATTTAAAATAATACCAATATGCTGGTCCCTCCCCTCCCCCAGTCCCACACCAATGGCTCACTCTGGGAATGAGCCTGGGTCATCAAGAGAGTTTTTAAAGCTCCCCAGGTGATTCTAATGTGTCGCCAGGTTTGAGAATTGCTGCTTATAGTAATACTCTCACAGGTGCATTTTCTGGGCATTCACTGAGTACTCCTTGAGCTGCATGTGCTGGGGAGGGCAGTGAGGAGCTGGGCACTGCCGAAGGTTGGATGCCCCCCCCCCCGCCCCCCGTCCACAGAGCAGGTGCTGCAGCAGCCCTGGCTGCTCCTTCCAACCAGAGGGGCTCCCAGAGGCCGGCGGTCACTTCTTTCCAGTTCCCTCAGGCTGACTGTCCTACTCATCGTCTCTCTGGCTCAGACCTGTTGTGTGTGTGTATTGACTTTATTATTGGCCCCTGGGACATGCTGAGATTTGACTTTGATCATAGATATGGAGACAATGAAGTGTTGTTGGGGTAGAAGAATTGGGTTTTCCTTGCAAGGTGATTCTCTGTGTGTGATGTGACCAGAATATTGGTATTAAAAAAAATTTACTCCAGCCCCGGCTGGTGTGGCTCAGTTGGTTGGGCGTTGGTCTCTGCACAGAAAAGTTGCCGGTTCATCTCCCTGGTTGTGGGCTCCATCCCAGGTACGGGGCAAGCAGGAGGCAGGCAATCCATAGTTCACTCTCACATCGCTGATTCTCTCCCTCTCTCTCTAAAAATCAATAAAAGATCTTAGAAAAACAAAGCATATTGTGATGTTTATAGTGTTCTAATATCAATGTAATTGATTTCTATTAAAAAAAAAACAAAAACAAAAAAACACCCACT